CAGCCTGAAGCTCTTGTGTACCAAGCTCAATGTCTGGGATTTTAGATCTTTGGCATTCTTGTAAATGTCTCTCTTGGTTTTGCCTTTTCATTTGAAAGAGGTGTTTGCAATTTTATCTTTTAAAATATAATGCATATAAATGTAAGTTTAAAACTTACTTCTGACTTGTGTCCTTAACTATCACATTTATTGTTTCACCAACTGAAAATAGTTGATAGGGATAGTTTGAGCACAGATGACTGTGATTTTGACTGGAAATTTCAGAATGTGACCTTTCCAAGGTGAAGAAGTGAACTGAGTCTGATGCTGAGCATTTTGAGTCTGCAGAGGAGGTTTTTCTTGCAAGTAGCCATGAGAGTAGGAAGTCAGAAGGCAGAGGCAGGAGGTCAGACATAAGAGTCAAGGAAGTATGAATGACATCATCATCCCTAAGTACCCTCTCAGAAGATGAATGAGCTCTCTCTTGTATTACAATGCTAAAGAGCATTAGAAGGTGATATGATATCCAGACAACACATAAGATAAATGCCTCTGAGGATGCTGGAACAGCTTCCCCCCCACGCCCTCCATGAGTTCATAAATCCTGTGGTGGTCTCAATAATACAATATGTGGCTGGTGAGTGTTATATATTGTGGTCAGCTTCTTCTTGACAAAATTCATTTCGGTTTAACGAGTACCTTGAACATTATCTAATTTAGTTACTTAAGCTGAACAACTCAATGTAACTCTAGATACCCTTTATTTCACCAGACTCACAGCCCTTTTGGGATACAGAGTGGATTTTTTTTTTCAAAAGTTTCTGAATAAAAAGTAAGCAGATGTTACAAGAAGAAATACCTAGTCTCCTTTAAAACTAACAAAAAATGTGTTTGTCATGATAAGTCTTGACACAAAGTGCTTTCATCTTGATAAAACTTCAAATGCAAGTTTCATATTCTTAATGAAATCCTTCTGAAGGGAATGCAGGACTCCAGCAAAACATGCAGAGGTGCTGGAGTGTTTGAGGTACATTCAGTCAGAAGTGGATTCAGTTTGAATTTTAGTCTTTGTGCTTCAAAAGCACAGTAACTCCAGTTACTTTATAGTATTTTTTTCTACAGTAGTTTGGGGATATGCAAAGCTGCAGTAGAATTTACTGCTCAGCCCCTCTTTTGGATATGTAGACACCCCTTAGTATCTTCAGGAGGAAGAATTGATCAAAATATTTACTTGTGAGTGTGTTTCAAAAAATAAAAACTAAAATGCTCTCAGTAGAAAATCAGCTTCAGTTTGGAATAAAAATGGACTATGGATTTTTGGTGCGCAGAGTTCTGAGGTATCATATGTAATTGCTAAAGTAATGTTTCCTTTTCTCAATATTTGCTCATTTGTGCTTTTTAGAGAAATAATATTATTCTCATTTGAAACAAAATGCAAAAAAATAAGACCCTCACATAGGTTTAGCTAAATGCTGCTAAGTCCTTAATTCTAAACCAAAAACTGTCAGACTTTTAGCAGTAATAGAAAAGTGGATCTTCCTTGACAAATGCCCCCATAAATTAGATATTAGCTGTAGTCAAACTCTGTCTCTCTCAGGAAATATTTCCACTTGCATATTCAATTGGAAGGACCTTACATGATGCCCACTTACTGCTATGAAAATCTAGGCTTCGGAGATGAAGGCAAAGAAAAATTTCTGTGAACAAAAGAATATCTGGAATAACAGACCTTGAGCTTATGCAGAGATTTCTTTTCATAGAATGTGAGTTTCATTCACTTTTTGCTCTGTCTGTCTGCTGCTCTGTCCGCCCCTCTATCTGTTTATCTGTTACCATCTCAGTGGTAATATGCAGTATCAATTGGATTTTAAAAGATATAGATCTCTTATACTAGCTGTCCTTTTTTATAATACCTTTTACAAATTTAATCAATGCATTTTAATATACAATATAGTTTAAGTGCAATATACGATAAATATTCAAACTTCATCTTAAACATGCTCTAGCCTTTAAATTGTTAAAACTGCAGTGCCCTTTCAATCTACTTACATAATGTCATAAAATATACATTTCAAGGTAAATGAAGTCAGCTACTTCAATTTAGTCCCTCAAACTGGTAGTAAATGAGAGGTTAACACTATGGTGCCAAACCCATTATTGAGTAAATTTAGCACCTTGGACAGCTCTGTAAAATCTTTATTGCTTTCCTGACCTGCTCGTCATGTTCTGTCTATGTGTTCAGTGGCTCTCAGCTCTGATTGAAAGGCAATATATTAGATCCCCAACACAAACATGCTCGGGGGCTGCTTCACTGTGAGCGTAATGACACGGAGGTGAGAACAATTTTCTGGTCACCGCAATCCAAGCACCTTGCAAGGTCTGCTGCTCTAACTCATAGAGGACTTCGGGGGCTCCTTTGTATGAGGAGCAGCTTCTGTTGTAATTTAGGCAGAGCTGCAAAAGGTTTAAGATGCATTCCGAAAACAAGAAGTTAATATCTTGAGCCAGTTTTTAGCAGCATTTTTGTTGTGTGTTTTTAAAGCTGGTTTTTGTCTATAAAAACTACCATCAGCTCTGGAATAGAAGATACCACTGTTTGACACAGGAGGGTTTTTCTGTGACATCTACTTTGTATGATTTGAAAATGTCATAAACAAGAAATGCTTTTCTTGTGTGAAAATATTGGTAAAGAAAGTATGAAACTCAAATTTACAGACCCTGAGAATGTTGGAAAAAAATAGAATCATTGACTAGCTAAGAAAATTGAATGCTACTTGTCAAGAATGTTTCAATAAACCATCATGACAATTAGTTTTATTTACATGCAATATGATATGGCATCAAAGAACTTCCAGTGTTTAAGAACTGAAATATATTTGATATGAGGGAGAGCAGCTGTAAGATTCTATGTAATTACCTCATTTTTTAACATGGTTTTCAATCTCTTTTTAGATGCACTCTAAGGTTTTTAGCTCAGCATTATATAAATAACTATGATTAGTCAGGTAGAGCAGAAATGACTATTTAAACTTTCTTTTTTTTAGTAATTTGGCATAATGACAGCTTAGGCTAACAATATACCAAAGCAGTTTGCGGCCTCTGTATCACATTCTAATTTTCCATCAGTGAAATATATACTGCAAACAATTTCAACTGAAGTGAAATAAATCCTGCTTTGCAAATTCAAACACCTGTGCAGTAATTTTCTATCTAAAATCATGGAATGAAAAAGAGAACATTTTTTTCAGTAATGTCTCTGTTCTTCTCTAGTTTGTATCTTCAGTATGAGGCAGACAGGGCCCTCAGTGTTGTGAGGAATGACGATTGTTTGTACCTGGATGCTGTTTCTGTCTGTCTGTCCATGATTATACTGCTCACTGCTCTGGTCAAAAAACAAACACCCCAAACCAGCAATTGCAACACAAAACCAACCCCAATCTTAAAAATCAAGCAAAGAAATGAAACAAACAAAACCTACCAACAGAAAAAGGCTGTAGCAACTTAACTCCTCGGAATTTGTTTCAAGAGTAGTGATTTAAAAATCCATCAATTATGTATTACATCTCACTTCATATGTGGAAAATAATTTAAATGTGTGTTCTGAAACAGGGGTGTGTGCAGCAGAAGGCAAGCCTAAATGTTTACTGGGAGAACAAAAATCCTCCATCTCATTTTTGAATTTAGGACATTATATATGTCATAAGTAGTTACTGCAGTATGACAACTATTTTATGTTATATTATAGAGAATTTAAAATTGAAAAAAATGCTAATATGCATCTAAAAGCTTGTCATTTGAAGAGTTGTTCAAGGATTTTTGAAGAGGTTATGGTGACAGCAAAATGAACGCAATTATATCTCTATTTTCTGATCAGAGTCTACAGTATATGAAAATTGAGCATTACTGTTTCTTTTTGGTATAAAATATGGCTATTGTGTAAAATATTTTAAGTTTAAAAGTTTAACTTTGTAGAAAACTGTAAAATGCTTAGAACTGGTACTATTTTTGTAAGCTCCTTGCAGAAATATGCCATGGTGAATAGCGTCATCTTAGAATATTAGAGCAGTACTTAGGGGCTGGGAACTACAAAAATACATTGTTTTACTCAAAGGATGTTCCTGAGCGGTTTTGATCGGGCATTTGAGAATCTGCTCTGAAAGATGCCATGAAATAATAAAAGGAAAAAATTCTTCTGGGTTAATTCTGCAATGCATTTTTATATTTTCTATCAGTATTATCATCAGGATGCTGTAAAATATAAGAACACAGGAAATGCTATTGTTTTTTGAATACCAGTAGAAAATACCCTAAGAAATATTAAATTAAAAGGAACGAATAAGAAAATGGAGGGGAAAAAATTGACCAAAATGGAGAACTGAATCTCGGACTGTTTTAAAGTCTGCTATCCATGCAAGGAAAATTTCCAGGAAACACTGCATGGTTGTGGGCTATTCTCTCACACACTGCATGTATTTTCCTCTTGGGCATCTTTCCATGCATGTGGATCCTGCCCTGACCCCTCTTACCAGGACACAAAGTGGACAAGCCAAAGGGCTTCATTACAGTAGCACAGGGCTGATTGGGTATCTTCTGAATGTGGCCTGCTGGGTAAGGTCACAATTCCTGCAGCATGCAATTAAGAATAAAATAAACACATTGAAGGGATTCATAACATTCTCTGAATGACATTGATTGCAGTAATCTAGTAAATGACCTCGGGATTGTATTCTGCAATAAACCCATGAGTGGTTTATAGTGCAGATGGTAGAGACAATTGAGTGATGTATTTTATTTTGCAGCACCAATGATTCTCACCTTTTGACTTGATTAAGCGTGTGTGTGAATAGGATGAACCAGTGATTTAACACCATTCAGGGGTTGCTGAGAGTTGTTACAATTAAGGTGGGAGAGAAAAAAGGAAAAAAAAACCACTACAAAACACGGTAATAGAAGAGAATATTTGTTTTCCCCACAAGGAGTTTATTGAACTCAGCAGAATGCTTCTGTTTTTATATTGACAGGAAGTAATACTTAAGAGGGCTGCGGATTTAGTAGAAGCACTCTATGGTATGCCACATAATAACCAGGTAAATGCATTCTACTTCAGCAATTCTATATCATGGTTATTTCTTATATGTATAGATAGATCAGGGCTAAAGGGATATGATGCTACAATGGGAGACAAGAATAAATGTACAGGGTGATGCCATACCTGGGGTGGGATTTAGTTTCCTTGTTTTCTTTTTTAAAGGGTGTGAATTTGTGTTTGTAAAAACACCATGGAGGCATCTGCCCACTTTCGCCAGATCCTATATAACATGAGCAATGTTGTACATTAGGTCTTGCCACCAGTGACTTCTCCCTCTCCCCTTAAAGAGAGCTCCGGGGTGGAGCAAGTCCAGGCTGCAGCCCCATCCTGCCAGTTGGTCTTTTTATACAAAGTGTGACCACTGGGACTGGGACTTCCAACTCTCTTAGCACAGATGTCAGGATTTAACAGGGAGATCCTGTAAGCATGAGCTCTCTGTCAGCCAGCTGGTTTAGACAGAAAAGCATCTTCTAGCCATTGGAAAGGGAACTGTTTCATTTAAGTCTGTAAGAAGAGGTTTGTCAGAGTCTCTTTGGTAACTCGTGCATGTTTTTTTCCTTGCCCTGCAGGAGATAATCCTGAAGAGAGCTGCAGACATCGCCGAAGCGCTCTACAGCGTCCCCCGCAACCACAACCAGCTCCCCGCCCTCGCCAACACCTCCGTCCACGCGGGGATGATGGGCGTCAACTCCTTCAGCGGCCAGCTCGCCGTCAACGTCTCCGAGGCCTCCCAGGCCACCAACCAGGGTCAGCACCAGCCTCATCTTCCTCTCTCCATGGATCTGCTCTGAGAGAAGGCAGGGGGACGGGCAGTGGCAGAGGGAGGGCTGGGCAGCCCATCCCAGACCCTTGGAATGGCACAGGATGGGGCTGCCCTAACTCAGGAAAAGCACTGCTGCATGTCTCTAAATAGCTTCTCATTCTGCCCCGAGTAACACTTGTATTTGTGTTTAAATCCCACTAATTTTAATCAGCTTCAGCATGTACTTAACATTAAGTACTTCCTTACATATTTCCCTCAGCATGGATCTCTCAGTCTGGGCTTTTGTAGCACTTCTTTATAACATGAAGTTGGCCCTTGAATGTTTTTTATTTAATTTGGCTTTTTTTTTCAAGAGTTAGAGTATTGGAACTGTGTTTTTTTCAGTTTGAGACTTCCATAAATTTTACAACTAGCAAAGAATGCACATATTTAAAAAGACATTTTCACAGCTTTTCCAGTTTTTAAAATGAAGTGTTTTTCACTTTGTATAAAATCAGTATTAGTTTAAAATAAAAGTTAAAAATAAAAAATAGGTGAAGAACATTTTTGTAGAAGCCCTTTGCATTTTGTCCTCTCCTTTGCTCAGCTCTATATATTATCCAATTTAAAAATACATTTGAATGGGAAAGTCTGTTTCTAGAAGAGCAGAAACAAATTTTTTTGCATTACAATAAAAAAATAGAAAATTATTTTTAGATTGAAGTATTTTATGCTTTGTGTTAGGAAGAAAAATTGGTGATTTTTCTTCTAGGAATGGAGATACATATTTTGTATTTCTGTAACTTCTAGAAACAAATCTTTCCTTATGAACATTTGGATATGAGTTTCCTAAAATGTCATTTCCAGAATAAGGTAGAGATTCAAATTTTAACTTGCTGTCAAATATGATGCTCATTTCCCACCAACATAATGATGAGACCAAGGCAAAAAGACAAAGGATATCCCACAAACTGGAGAAATACACTCCATTTCCTGAAGTGTGCAGTGAGCATCTGAGGTGTGTTAAATGACAGTGACATCAGAAAAGAGTTAACAACAATCACTTGCTTTTAACATACCTTGAGAGTGGGTCTGTGCTCCTCACTGTGAAAATGTAGGTCATGTTTACTCCATTTCCTACAAGCAGCCCTTTCAGAGCGAGTGTTCCTCTGACACCCCGAGCTGATCTTTGCTCCAGGGCATCCCTGCCTTGCCTGGGGAGCTCTGCAGGCTCCAGCAGCGACCTGGCAGGGAGGGCTCCCGGTTTGGGTACCCGGTGGTGCTGGGGGTCAGTCCTGCCCCTCTCCCTGGCTGGGCTGGGCTGGGCTCCCCCTTGCTCTGTGGGAAGCTGTTGTGGGGCTAACTCCAATTTCTGCCTGTGTTCCCTCCCCACACAAGGTTTCACTCGCAACTCCAGCAGTGTGTCACCTCATGGCTACGTGCCAAGCACCACCCCGCAGCAGACAAACTACAACTCTGTCACAACAAGCATGAATGGCTATGGGAATGCTGGAATGTCAAATTTAGGCGGTTCTCCAACCTTCCTGAATGGATCTGCTGCCAATTCTCCCTATGCCAGTGAGTATTTTATGTATTTTCTGTATTTTGTGCATTTTCATTAGAAGGAGGCAGTAGATTTTCTCTGATGCTCAATATTTATTTTCTATTTTGAGCACTTGAAATAGAACTTGGTCTTTACTCTCCAAGGCACTGATCTTGGATGCACTTTGAAGACCTTAGTGTTGCCAGAAATTATTCAATCTGTTTTCATATTATTATTATTAATTATTATTTTTTTTATTTGGGAGACTTAAAAGAGCTTACAAAGAGTAATCTCTCATTATTTAGTATGATAGGTTCATAACATACCTTATACTCTAATAAGAAACACTGTCCTCAACTTCTGAGCAAATAATATGTTTATAACCTTTATAAAAACTATTAATTACTACTGTGCCTCAGCTTGATTGTTTATATTCCACTTGCTTTTTAAGTAATATTATTTTGACTTCACTGAGTCAGTAAAATGTGACAAAGGCTCTTAGATTTTGTGTTTTAGTGTCAGTACAGTGAATGCCACAAAAATGTGAGTCATACAAATCATACATGCCATGGTGTGAAGAGCTTATGGTCTACAGTCCCAGTCATGGAAATATTTATGTGCAGGACTAACTTTCTGCATTTTGATATTAAAGGTTTAGTAAGCTGTTTAAATATAAATACATTTCTATTGGTAAAGTGAAGCCCTTCTGCAGCAGAGCTGCAGTAGTCCCTCGTCACATGAGAAATTGAATGAGCAGAACCTGCCCAATTCCTCTGACATTGCTCATGAGGCATAAAGGATTCCACTGACATCTGTAGGAAGCTGACAGCAGAATCAGGATGGAAGGTCTGGACAAATAAACAGATTTATAGGCTGGGACTGCAGCATGGACAGGACAAACTGACTGCTGGAGGTGCCAAGGTTTACACAGCAAATCTAAAGTTAATGGTGTAACAGCAGCAATGAATTATTTTGATCTGCATCAGAATAAAAAAGGAGATAGGAACTCTGAATAAAATAATTTACTCCAAGGCTGCTTCTCTGCTGCAAATTTAGAACAAATTATTTACCCACATAACTAGTACTTATAACCTGGGAATTGCTAACCAGTGATTATTTTTGTGCTCTAATAATAATGTAACATGTAATGTTACAAAGTACCGTACTTATTAAGTTGGATTTACTGTCACAGAATCTGCACACTCTGAATTCATAATATAACATGATTGATGAGACATCTCCTTTTGGAAGCAGATGCCAGTAATGCATTTAAAATACTGTGGCAGTGTATTATTTCATATTTATGAACGGAGTCCTCTTTAGAATAGCACTTCACTTCCTAGCCCTGGTTTCTATTCTATTTATATTTTGGGAGGTTTTCTTGGTTGATCTGTCATTCTGCTAATGTCTAATCCATTGAATCAGAAAATGCTTCAATCATGACCTGAAAATTAAAAGGTGGCATTCTTAATTAAATCAATAAACTAATTGCTGTATAGTAGCAATTCAATTTAGGTGCTTTGATTGCTCTCCCTTAGCAAGTACTTCCAGACACAGAGTGACTTCAGACTAAGATTGTATCTGTCAGACTGTGAAACTTTGAACATTTAATTTCCATTAATTGATTTCCTCAGTGTTAACAAATATGATATCAGATTCTCAAATAAGAACTTAAATAGGGTGATTTTTATCTACATAATGCAAATAAAATAATAATTCAAAGCCCAGATGATCAGAATTTTACTCTATAATATGTAATTATTCACAGCCCACTTGTGTATCTAAGCGGTTTCTAAACAGGACAAAGAATGGAAATATGGGATGACACTTTTTTGTCTTTTTTTTGTTGTTGTTGTTGGATAGAGGGGAAACCTGCAGTGCCTTCTGAATATTAAAGTAGTTATCTTTATTTTCATGAAAAGAAATTAGTTTAAAAGCTTGATGATAAATATATGAACCAAAGATATTTGTTGTACTTTGTAGTAAAATTATGGTTTAAGGATATCTGTGTTTAAAGACTGAACTTCCCACATAGCACATTTGCATTTTGAACACTCAGTTCAGCCCTAGAAAAATCGAGAGCATCCAGGAATGAGAATTCTCTTGTTTCTGCAGCCTGTTATTATTGAGTACTAAGGAATCCCTTTTTGGGGGTCTTTCTTCCCTGCAGTTGTGCCATCCAGTCCGACGATGGCCTCCTCCACTAGCCTCCCCTCCAACTGTAGCAGCTCCTCTGGGATTTTCTCCTTCTCACCAGCCAACATGGTCTCAGCGGTGAAGCAGAAGAGCGCGTTCGCGCCGGTCGTGAGACCCCAGACCTCGCCCCCTCCCACCTGCACCAGCACCAACGGCAATAGCCTGCAAGGTACGTGGAACCAGGCTGAGCCCAGGCTGGACAGGAGGTGGCTGCTCCAGCTGGGAGCTCCTGGAGCCTCCGAGCTGCCCCAGGGGAGTGAAGGCAATGGGGGATCCCTGGTGGGCTCTGTCCTAAAGCTTCCCCCTGTAGAGAGTAACTGACTCCACCCCAGCCCGCCTTGTGGCCTGCAGGTGTTTGGCAACCACCCAAGCTCTAACCCAGCTAATGCTGCTGAACTGAGAGGCTGTGTCCTCTAAAGCACAGACCTACTGTTTTGATAAACACAAGTAATATTTCAGCTTACTAATACCGTCCTTTTTCTTTCTTTCCTCTCTTATTCCCTGTTGTCGTCCTTTATCAGACCAGTCTTTTGTGGACTCTAGCAAGTACTCCACTGCAGGGTCTCTCCAGGGGCTGGCCTTCTCCTGAAGTACGTCACTCAATCTTCCCTTCCTTTTTGTCCTTTGTCATAGTACACTTGTGCAGAAATCCTACTGAGAGCAAATAGAGCGTTACAGAGCTTGGCACAAACCTTCCCTTTCATAAATGGGAGATGCATTACAAACTAACAGCAGCGTTTTCCACTTTAACTCACACCAGGACAAACATTAGTTTCCACTGATTAATGTACTCCTGTGCCAATTAATTCCAGAAAAGGCACAGGGCCTTTTGGAAAGCCTATTGAACTGTTGGTATCAAGGGGCTGCTCCTTTTCTGCATCCCTTCCCCTCTCATTACAAGTTCTCCAGCATTAGTATCTAAATCCATTTGAGAGGCTGGTGCAGGCGAGGCAGTGACAGACAAAATCTTGTCAAACTGAGGGTGCTGCCAGCCCAGCACTGCCCATCTCATTGTTTGGCTGAGTCTGTTTTACAACACTGAGCCTAAGCCTCCCCGTGTGGCTCCCTCACTGCACATCCCTGTGCTGAGACAGGCATTTTCATGCTTGCTTAGGTCCAGGGGCTTCCTTAAGCAGATGCAGCCAGCTGCCTCCAGCTGCCAGAGGTGGGAGATATTCCGTGGTGTGCATTGTGCTTCCTCCAGATCTGAGATTTGTTTCCTTTTCATGAGCCTGTGCAAATTATCCAAAGGGCATCAAGTGGGGAATTAAATCCATCATTTTTTAAGCCAGGTTCAGAAGGAGGTGTGCAGAGCAGGATGGCTGCATTAACTCGACATGTCACTCAGCCTCTGGAAAGGGGAACACTGGGCTTGAAGACAAAATGCTGATAGCACCATTAGCGGCCAAAAAAAATCTATATGCAAGCAGAGTGGGAGGAATTCATTCATAAAAGCTTGGATCTATTGTGCCTGAAGGAAAGCATTGTCCTCAGTTCATGTTACACTGGTGAACTGGGAGGAGGAATCCTTCAGGGTGCACACACACAGAGAAAAACTGTGCAGAAACTGTAAATTTACTAAAAACTAATAAGCAGATCTTCAGTACCTTCAGTTAGGACTTTGTTTGAAATACAAACTGTGTCAGGAATAAGGCAAAATGAATTTTTCAGGTAAACTACAGCATTTAGGAGATTTGGTTTTGAACATTTAAAAGAATTGGCAGTGCTTACATGCTTGAAGTTTTAAAAGAAACACCTAATCATATTTTCCATCTGAAATAAAATTAAAAATAAAAACCCTAAACAAAAGCTTTTGAACATGTTAATGGTTTTTTTCCTCTCTTCACCTTGTCCCATATTGTTGTGGATGGAGAGAAAAAAACAAGTAACAGGAGAAAGCTTTTTCAGGCTCTGTGTCTCCTTTCACAAGACACAGAATTCTCAGATTCCATGTACTCAGTTATGAAAAGCAATTATGGAAGGAGCCGAGAGCACTGGGCACAACTGGAGCTGTGATTGCCTCCTCATTATGTCACCTCCACATCCGCAATGCCCAGAAACCACACAGATCTGAGCATTCCCCCTAATTTTTGTTTAGCAATTCAGTTTTCATAATGGGAACGAGACACCAAGAGATGGTTCATTTCTAGGTCATCACTGAACTTCTTGGTGAGTTAAAGACACACAGCCTTTGGTCCTGTGCCTCCTGACACCACCTGAGGCTTGTAATAATCACTCAGAGAGGCACTGCCTGTTGTGCCTTAATGCTTAAATAAACAACCATGTATAAGGAGGCTGTCTTATCTCTCTTGGGCTTCTGGATACATCAGAAAGCAATCAAGCTTTCCTTATGTAGCTTAGATATCAGCAGAACTCACTAAAACAGCAGCCAGGCTTATCTGTTGTTCTCTTTGCCATGCAATTTTGTAAAACCCCAAATACATTATTTCTGTAATTTGCTGGCAGCAAATACAAATTAGTGTATGATAGAAGAAATAAAGGCCATTGGTGGGAGCTTTTCAATTCTCTGCCCTCCCTTTTTGGAGGTGGTGTGATCTCATACCTTCACTGTTTCCCACTGATATCTCTGTTTTCAGGATCAATAACAGGCTACAGCTGGGAGAATTTGCATGACTAGATGTAGCACTTATGGCATAAAAGTGGAGTGATCTAAATGAAGACCTGGAAAGAATGGAAATATCAAAGCTTTTAGGCAGAAAAGATATCATTTGCCTTGTAATTTAATTCAGAATTTCAGAGCTCTTCAAAAACAATGATGCTTTGAAAAAAGGAGCTAAGATCTGCCTCTGTGCCATTTCTTTCCAACAGCAAAAGGCTGATCTGTAACCACAGGGAAATGTCTAAATCATGAAGAGAGGAATTGCAATTATCTCACCTTTTTTGGGATCCTACCCAGGGTAGGCAGCTGTCCTGTCCCAAGAGACACAGTTCTTGACTAATTATTGGTGAAATTGATTTGCTTCTGATGAATCTTTCAGATTGAGTATTGGAATAGTATCCTGACATTTTCTGAAGAAAAGATACTTTTTCTAAAGGAAAGCAACACCTTGTCCTAAAGAGCCCTCTATGCTTCTCACCTAAATGTCTTCTGTAGGACTTAAAGTAACTTAACTCACCTTTCCATCCTTTTTATCCTCACTCTTAGCTCCTTGAAGAGCCCTCATGTGGGTACACAATCAGTACAGTGATTCCACACGATAAATCCCAATAATTGAAATGCTGTTGCTCTGTGCCACCTCTGAGGGTGGCCTGTTGCAAACATGTTGGATGTGTTTTGCATTCTCTCCTTCTCCCCTCATTTTATTTCATTTAATCAGTGCAGTTTACTCGAGCTGTTCTCCCCTTGCTGATTAGACTTGTAATTCTTGCACATATGGTGGTGTTTGTGGAGAAAACATTTCCCTCCTCTCCCCCTCCAACCCCAAATCTGTGAGTCTTTTACTTTGGCTCTGTTCTTATCAAATAATTGCAGCTGTAATTAAAGCACAATGAATCAGCACCAGTCACGGGGTTGAGTCCTTCCTTAAGAAATTACATGTCCAGATGTCTGGAATGGCAGGCAGCATTTAAATCATGTGCCTGGAAAGTGCTGCCAACCTGAAGGAGAATCTGTTTTCTACCTTTTGGCAAATAACTGTACAACTGGCATTTTAGAGACACATTGTTTTTACAGTTCCCATCATAAACTTCCATGACTTCCCCCTGTAATGATGTGCCTGCTCACTGAGTGTCACTGGGACACTTGGGATGCTTGATCTGAGCCCCCAAATAATAGAGAGAGATTGAGCTGGAGGTCAGCTTATGTGCAAAACTATCCCTGTTGAATTTTCATAAATGTCTGTCTGCTAAGAGAGGTGGTGGTTTCATAGAAAATGAGGTAGGAAGATAATAAAGAAATGCTGATGATTCAACTTAGCCAGCAAAAGAGAAAACATCCTGAATTATCATTCACTATGACTCACCTGATGTAGTTGGTGGTGTCTGCTACAAGTGGAATAAGAAAGATGCTGGCCTGCTAACCCTGGAGTCAAGCATGCATTTCAATTTCAAAACTGGATTTGAGAGTTTGAATCCTTTTCTGAGCTCCTGGAAATGCAAACCTGAGTCCCAGGGGTGACCTTTGGGAGGGCTGGCACAGGGGAAGGACCCAGAGTGGCACTGGAGGGACACCCCTGCAGGGCCATGCCAGGGGACTCCTCCTGTTTCCCCTGATTTGGTGCAAATTCCTGCTTTGCCTTTAAGAGAGTGACAGAATGTGTGGCAATGCCTGGATCCAGTCAAAGCTTCCTCAGCATTTGGGGAATTTGAAACTAAAAGCAGAAAAATAAGTTGAAGTCTGATACTCATATAAGGAAGGACACTTTTTCTACAAGAAAATCAGTAATTTCAGCAAAGTCACTTGCAATTTGAATCATTTTCCAGTCAAAAGGAAACTTCTCATGATTCTTGTGTGCATAGGTGTCTCTTATGAGTAATATATATATTTAACTCAAAGTATAGTATATCTAACTACATTGCTAGTAAATGTTTAAAGCTCTGGAATTTTAAAAGTTGCTTAATAATGCAGAAAATTAACTTTTCCCCTCTCTCTCTCTCCCTCTCTCTCCCCCCTCCCTTTCCTTCCAACAGCTATATCTGGCATGATTGTTCCCCCCATGTGAAAGAATTGCCTTGAAGAATTTTATTAATGAAGAGGTTGAATTCTGCTTCAGAGAGAATCTGATACAAGTCCCAGAGTGGAACTTTTTACTCAGGCCTTTTTAAAAATAAAAAAAGAAATAAAGAAGGATCTTACAATAACTGCAGATTTTTAAACAAAGCAAAAATCACCATCCTTGCAAATACTGAAATTAACAATCCACAATTGCAAGGTGTTGATTCGAGTTGTCCATCCCAAATACCTGGGAGATATATTTATTGTATGTTGATAAAAAAATCCACTTTTTTGTTTTGTTGGGGGGGTGGGGGCTTGCTTTTATTTCCTTCTGGTTTCTTGTGGGTTTTTTTTAAGGCTTGATTTAACTCAACACCATTTGTCTTTTATAAATCATACAATTACACAAGGGACACTAGAGATGGAACTCCACATTTTTAATTTATGAATTTTTTTTTAAAGCTGTGTAAAGAAGAATAAAGTGGTGTCATTTACATACAAGCCTGTATGGGACAGAATAGAAGTGCCAGTTAGTTTTTCATAGAAGAATTATGGCCATTTAATTAAGGGTCGGCTCATATATGTTGCTTATCCAGTGGTGACTTGCTGATATGAAGCATTTTTAATGTTCTGATTAAACAGATATCACTCCCTAAAAAGCTGATATTTTTGGATTATGAGGGCGGGGTGAGGGGTGGGATTAGTAACCTCTGTCATTAATATCAGGCTGAAAAATCGTGTAAATAACACAACAGGAAAAGTTCATCCCAGAACACCAGGCTGGAAGGGGTCCTTAAGGTCCAACTTTTCTTGGCAAAAAGACGGTTGAAGAGAGGGGAAGGGAAGGTGGAAATATCAGAAATGTTTCCTCTGGAAGTGCAAACGCAGTGCCTGCAGCTGCAATGCCAGACCTGCTGCAGGAGGTGAGCACGGACCCCTCTGCTTTGGGGTGAGATCCCAGAGCCTCCGA